TAAGCCGAAAAGAAATCGGCGCGCTGGCAACTCTAACGAGATAAACAACTCGAACAGCGGAGGTACCCACTTTGAATGGTATTTTGTTTTTTGTTTTTTTTCTGAAATTTTTCGGAGCTCGTAGTTTTTTGTGTAAGAAATCGATTTGGCTCTTTTCGATATTTCGCCTTTTCGAATCGCTTTTGAATTTCAAAGAGGCCGGCATTTCATTTCACAAAGTCAAAACAGTTAATTTATATCATGTCGCGACTACTGGTCTTACTGATTTTGCATTTTCGACAGAGCTCCGGCTACCGTCTTTCGAAATTGAAATATGAAAATGAAATCAATTTGGGGCCAGAAACCTGATTAGCGCCCCCACTGCAGGCATAGAAGATTGAAGCCGAGATTGGATGAGTCTTGGATTTGGAAAATCAAGAGATCGCAAATTAGTCACATTATAAATGTACATACAGATGTGTGCGGCCATAAATTTGCGTACATCTCTGAGGCATTCGTTTACTGAATGGAGCCGAAATCGAAAATGAAATTTCACACTGAAAACAACTTTTGATAAGTCGTGATAAGAAAAAACTGGTGTTTATTGATATTTCTAATATTAAGGACCTAATGTAATTTTGAAATCTATTAATATAATTCGTTCACAATTTGATTCACAATAATTAAGACTTTCATGACATAAAAAGCACAAAACAAGAGAAGACTACTTCGACTATCAAATACCCTTTACTCGGCTAAAGAAAGTGCGTGGGAGATAAGCAAGCAGTTGCCTTTATTTAGATTTTACTAACCTCTTTGAACACGAATTTTTCTCACATTTTTCTCAATTTTTTCACGAACTGGAAAATTAAGTTTTATGTCATAAATGTTAATTTTTACACACCTATTTAAATTGGTTTTGTATATTTCTTTTAATTTAGTCAATAAATAATATAGTTCTTAAGCTTAAGAAGAAATATGTTTACAGTGTCCTGCTGAAATATTTACTAATCATAAGAAATATGTTTATAGTGTCCTGCTTAAATATTCACTATTCCCCTTCTTTAAACAAAATAAGAAAAGTCTAAAAAAACAATTTTTCTGTGTGCATCGAACTGAAATGGTTGAGATGCGGGGGTCGTCAATACCTGGCCTTGACGCTGCGGTGCGACTGCGTAACTGAGTAGCCGCCGCAGGACAGCCGCACCGCTGACACCGTCACCATCACCATCACCATCGGCATCACCATCAAAGTCGCCTTCTCCATCTACATCAGCAGGTGCACCGAGTCAGCAGTCAGCCAGGCTCAAAAGGTGCCGCTGAGCCTGAGCTAATTTCAAATTACACACTTCATTCGCCCGGGGAACTGGGACAGCGACTGCGATTGGGAATGGGATTGGAAACGGTATTGGTATCGGGACATGGGGTTCAGTAAGCCGCTTTTAAAGCCAACCACAATTGACAAGCGTGCCCCGCACCGCACTATGCTACACCACTATCCACTATACTATATAACGCTCTGATCCTGAAGATCAAAGTCGCCGGCCGCCCGCACGCTCGTTCCTCCAAAACTCAATCCTCCGGTGGAAAAGGTCCGAGATGTAGTCACTTGCCTAACGGTCGATCGATGGGCTCGTAATGTGCGTGCAAGATGGATTTTCGGGCACCGTGGGTGTGGCTTATTTTAAAGCAATTAGGCCCATAGTGAAGCGTGTCTTCGTCTCTGATGTACGAGGACACTTTAGACTATTGTCCGCGCGCCCCTTTCATCTCGACCGCTAACAGATCATTTGAGCCGGGCATTTCGAGCCATTAAATTGATTAGTCGCAGCACCGCGGGGAAGTTGGGAAATTACTCAAATCTGTGATTGATACTTTACGGTGGCAATTATACATGCTGTTAAGCAGCAAGGACTTGACAAATCGAAGGCGGCTATGTGTTTTAATGGGAAAAAATATGACATTGCTTAAGGATTACTTAAGAGAGGAGAGGGGGGCGAAATCGACATCCCACTTATCTCACAGGTACAGCTGCACAAAGAAACCTCTTGTAAGGAGGTCTTGTGCAAGAATTCTTGCGTTGGGGAACTTTTTGGAAAACGCAGTTTTACTTGGGAATTCGTAACGAATTTAAAAATATATCATCCATCGAGATGCTATTTACATATGGATCGAAGATTGGAAGGATCTTTGGACGGTTTATTCTCAAAGTGGAAACCGTTAATTTACATTTAACCAAAAAAAATCTTGGTTAAGTCTGAACATTGAAACCGAAAAAAACAATGGTTTGTTCTAATTATAGAAACATTGCGAATACCCGAAAAATATACCATATTTCGAAAAATTGGCGGTAAGTCTTTAAAAAGATTAGCATTTAAATATTTAGCTTTCTATAAACAAACAAGAGAGAACGTTATAGTCGGGTGCCACGACTATCAGATACCCGTTACTCAGGTAAAGGGAGTGCGAGGGAGATGGAGATAGAGATAGAAAACTTTGATCACGCATAACTTTTTAACGAATGGTCCGATTTGAAAAATTTCTTCTACATTTCAATAGGTATTGATAAACACAATAAAACTGCATTTTTACTTTTCAAAAATATTAAAATTTTTAAAATCGTATATAAGCGATTGTGGGCGTTAGAGAAGGCGTGGCACCATTTTGAAACAAACTTGCGCTGCGTAGGAACTCCTAAAATCTGCATGCAAAATGCCAAACTTCTAGCTTTTATAGTTTCCGAGATCTCAGCGTTCATACAGACAGACAGACGGACAGACAGACGGACAGACGGACATGGCTAGATCGACTCGGCTAGTGATCCTGAAACGGAAACGCTTCCTTCTCCCTGTTACATACTTTTGCACGAATACAATATACCCTTTTACTCTACGAGTAACGGGTTTAAAAAATTGTAAGGGAGAGTGGGCAATTGCGTCAGCATTTTTCAAAGCTATTTTTTATCCATCTTGAGACACGTTATCATATTTCTATTTTTATTGTTGAATGCGGTTAGCACCAAGCTTTGAAATGTGACATTCCCCTTTTTTTAATTACCTTGGTGATTTATAAAAAAATTAAAAGTAAAACCAATATATAAAAACCAATTCCGTCACACAGCGGGGTAAAATCACCACACCACTGGGGCAATTTCGTCACCTGAAAAATGTAGGGAATTTAACGCCTGTAAATTTGCTACACTGATCAAGCGTACCATTTTTGTTGACGTCCTATATTTGTTGCTGCTGCCGGTAGTCTGTTTGTTAGAGCTGGTCAAATAAAAAAATATGTATTTAAAATAGGTGCGAATTTACCCTAAGCATAGGGTGGCGAAATTTCCCCACGCAGTACTTTTTAAGAAATAATTATTTTTCTTCCGAAATTATGCGCGAGGTTAAAAATCACTAATGCAGATATGCACATTATAGCACTGTGTATTAGGGGCTGTCCATATATTACGTAATCATCTAGGGGGGGGTCCACCAAATGATTACTCTAGTGCAAATTTTTTTACATGGGGGGGGGTCTAAAATCGCCGAAATTTTGATTACGTAATATATGGACAGCCCCTTATATAAAAAAACCTGTATCTTATCCCTTTTCAATTGTGGCAGACAAAAAAAATTCGTCGAGAACTAAATGTAGCTTTTGAACTATTAAAACACATTTAATATTATAGCTTAATTATCTTGACCTTCTGTGCTAAAAAAATGCATTGGTTGTGTCTTGCCGTCTTGAAGGACTAAAACAAAAAAATTATATATTTTTACGACTTATGGATTCCCATTGCAGGTGGCGAAATTGCCCCAGTGACGAAATTGCCCCACTCTCCCCAACATTAAAAAAAATCTTGGTGTCTTATAGTGTGATTCTGGTCAAGAACATAATAGCAATTACCTGCTTAGGGCTAGTACTCAACCCAACAAATAGTCGTCCAAAACAAAAACTTCATATGAAACAAAATTTTTTGACGTTGTTTTTCTTATGAAGTTTTTTGTTTTGGACGACTTTTTGTTGGGTTGAGTACTAAGCCTTACGAATATTTTAAAGCAGTTGACTTTATAGTGTTCCTTACTCATTATTCTTAAAAATGTATATGGTTTGGTTGAAAAATATGTAGTAGTTACTTTTTCATTTGCATTGAAGTGACTGTCACACGTCTTAGGTGGTTTTTCTCTAACCTTAACGTCAAAAAAAACGTTTAAAAACAACTTTAAAAATACCGAAAGGATTCTAAAAAAGGGCTTATTTGTCCATATTATTGGTATTGTCCTGAAAAATTTTCCAAGAATATTCAATTTATTATTAAGTTTAAAGCTTTTTGGCTTGGTTGACATCCTCAAAAGCCTATTACATACTATTCCCGAATACAAAACACACTTCACTATATGAATTACCCGTTACGTCTTCCTGATTAAGAAAATGGCACTTAAAATTTTTTTTATGGATAAAATTTTTTTTAAAGTGTAAAAAGCGTTTTTGACACTTTTAATTTCTAACTTGAGTTGTGGTTAACTGATTTCAACTATAAATGATTCATTTTACAGGCAATAGAATGCCCTCCAACTTTCTTATACAATGCATTGAGTTCCATTCATTAGTTTTGAAGCTACATTTGGCCAAAGTTGAAAAAGTTAGAAAAAATGCAAAAATGCTGGGATAAATGTCTTCGTTAAATATACACGCCTGAAAACCGAAATTAGATTAGGTGTACTTTAAGGGCCATTTTCTCGTTCATTTGTTAAATTTAAAGTAGGGTTAAAACCTTGAAATCGTATGGGAAATCAATAAATCAATCAACGGCCCTAAGTTTGCACTTTTTCAATCAAAACAAAAATCATAAGGAAAGTCACAATTTTAATTTTATTGAAGTTAGTTTTTTGGTGACCGTTAAATTTTTGTTGCTACTTCGACGCACATTGTTCCACTGTGCTCAACAGAGTGACCACCGTTTAAAAAGTACGTTTGGTCATGACAGGTGTTACGGTCCCACAGCTAAACTATCGCATGGCATCTATCGCTTGTGCGAGTACGGTCACTCTGCTCGGTGGTTGTAAAATTGTAAAAATTCCGTGGCTGTCTTCCGTGTCTCCGACTATAAACGCGAATTACTCAACAAAGTAGTGGAATTTACCGTGCGAAAAGCGTGACCATCCGCCCAACGACCTTGCGGAGTGGAAAAATGTCCTGTGCGGCCGCCCTTCCGACGGCCAAGGACTCGACAAACGCGGCGAACGCAAATGCCAGTGGAGGAGCCCCAACAAACAGCAATACCAACACCAGCACACAGGCGACTGCTGTGGGTGTGGTAGTGAGCAGCAGTGCAACGGGCGGCGGGGGTGGCCCTATTCCGAATGGCACCACCTCGTCATCCTCCACCGCTCCAGGAGGCGTGGCAGCGGGGGGCGCTAACTCGGCGGCCGCCCACGTCCGAAGATTCTCCATGGAGGGCGTGGGTGCAAGGGTGATCCGCGGACCGGACTGGAAGTGGAACAAACAGGTGAGCGGCGCGGGGGGTTGAAGTCGAGTCAAGTCGAGTCGCCTGGTTCTGGTGAAAAAATACTCTCCCCGTTCTCAATTGACCGATCAATTGATTTAATTGCACACCGCCTCAACTCGATTCTGGACAAACTAGTCAAGTTTCTCTTTTCGCATTTTCACCAGAATTCCGAGGATCATCTGTGTCATCCTAGAAAGTGTGTACACAGTCCTCATTTGATACACTCGACAAAAAAAAATAGAGGGAACAAAAATATGGAATTTTTTTTGATTACATAGAATTTATATGAAATATAGTACCCTTTCATTTATTTTGAATTTAAGGATTTAAAATTAATAATCTAAAATTATTCAAATCATTTTTTTAAAGCTTTTTAAAATGCTAATGTTGAAAAGTTGTTGCCTAATAATTTATCCGAAATATCTTTTCTCTATGAGTCATAAACCTCATGCAAGATTTGAAAGTGAATTTGATAAAATGCAGCCCATCTACATAAACAGAAGTAGATAAAAAGTAAATCAAGATTAAGTTATTTCCGCAAAATACAATTTTTAACTGATTTTATAACGAATTACTATCGTTTATAAGTGAATCAAAATGTGTAATTTAATATTCTTTGTATAATGTCTATTCATTGACATATATGACTAATCATAATGCAGATACTTATAAAATGGCCTTGTACTAGCTATTATTATTTTTCATAAAGATATTGAGATGCAAATTTTAAATCTAGTGTAAAATATTTTTAGATCTAATGCCTGGAACAAATATAGTGAGTTAGTGACTAGGTAGGGTACACAAACCTTTTTATTTTGTTTCGACTCGCTGATCCCTTCGAGAGATAGCCAAACGAATTTGTAGCGATTGCCTACCGTAACACTTAGTTAGTTGCTATTATGCACTTCAGCTACAACTTTCGCATTCTAATCAGCGTGGGTTTAACTTATTTACGCAATGGAAAATCGGAAGATTAAGTGACTCACATTCTACCCTCTTGATTCCGTTACAGGATGGCGGCGAAGGACATGTGGGCACCGTTCGCAATTTCGAGTCCGCCGAGGAGGTGGTGGTGGTCTGGGACAATGGCACCGCTGCCAATTATCGCTGCGCCGGAGCCTACGATCTGCGCATCCTGGACAGCGCCCCAACTGGCGTGAAGCACGAGGGCACCATGTGCGACACTTGCCGCCAGCAACCGATCTTCGGCATCCGCTGGAAGTGCGCCGAGTGCATCAACTACGATCTGTGCTCCATATGTTACCACGGCGATAAGCATCACCTGAGGCATCGCTTCTACAGGATCACAACGCCGGGAGGCGAACGCACCATGCTGGAACCGCGACGAAAGTCCAAGAAAGTCTTGGCCAGAGGCATTTTCCCGGGAGCTCGGGTGGTTCGAGGCGTCGACTGGCAGTGGGAGGACCAAGACGGCGGGGTGGGACGGCGTGGCAAGGTCAACGAGATCCAAGATTGGTCCTCGGCCTCGCCAAGATCCGCCGCTTATGTGATCTGGGACAATGGCTCCAAGAATCTTTATCGCGTGGGCTTCGAGGGAATGGCCGATCTGAAGGTCGTAAACGATGCCAAGGGCAGCAATGTGTACCGCGATCACCTGCCCCTGCTGGGCGAAAACGGACCCGGCAAGGGACCACATGGCTTCCAGATCGGCGACAAGGTCACCGTGGATCTGGACCTGGAAATCGTGCAATCTCTGCAGCACGGACATGGCGGCTGGACCGATGGCATGTTCGAGTGCCTGAGCAACGCGGGAATGGTCGTGGGCATCGATGAGGATCACGATATTGTGGTGGCCTACAATTCCGGCAATCGCTGGACCTTCAATCCAGCCGTCCTCACTAAGGTATCTTCGCCGACGACAGCTCCGCCAGAGTTTCAGGTGGGCGACATTGTGAAGATCTGTTCGGATGTGGAGAGCATCAAGATCCTGCAGCGCGGCCATGGCGAGTGGGCCGATGCTATGCAGCTGACGCTGGGCAAAATTGGTCGCGTGCAGCAGGTCTACCATGACAATGACCTCAAGGTGGAGGTGGGCAATACGTCGTGGACCTACAATCCGCTGGCCGTTTGCAAGGTGGCCTCCTCCACCGCCTCCGACGGGGGCTGTGCTCCGGTCATCCCCAGCGGGGAACGTCTCTCGGCCATTCTCAAGAAGCTCTTCGAGCCGAACGTCTCCGGCGATGCCACTGAGGAGTTTGTCAAGGCAGCTGCCAATGGATTTGCGGTGAGTGTAATTTCAATAATTATTTAAGGTATTTAATTGCTTTTTGAGGAAAAAGAATTGCAAGGGAGGCTTAAAATAAAATTGACATTTTAACATAAAAATGGCCCCCTTTTTACTTTATATGAGAAATCCGCGACTTCTTAGGCGTTAAATGTCTGAGGACGGACATTAAAGTTATTTACTTGTATTGTAGTCATTCTTTTTTGGTTTCACCAACAATTTGTTTAAACCGCCAACTTTTTGGTCACGAATGTCACTTCCTTACTGTCTTATCTAAGCCCTCAATTAAATATCCAAAAAACAGAAAACAGCGAATTATTTGGCATATGGATGCACATATTAGCATCGTTTATCAATGTCATTTACCAAATAAAAAAACATTGGACGTCAAAAGTAGATCAAGATATACGCGAATTCTTAAGCCTCAATCGGCTTGTAAGTTGACATAACCACACCCTCAAACTCGACTTTTTAGTATTTTTATAGTATTTAAAACCCCTATTTTAAACCATTATTTCTACACAAGTAGAAAACTATTTTGTATAGAAACTGTTGTTGGAACTGCCTTACACTTTTACACCTTACAACGTTTGCAACGCAATCGAATACCCTAAATGTGTATGCTTATCTTGACCATTATCTTTGCGTTTACAGGCCCGCTGTGAGGAGTACTTGGCCGGGGCAGCTCAACCCTCGACTTCTAGTGCCTCGCCCAGTTCCGGTCCGGATGTGAATGTGAATGGCGTGTTTGCCGGACACACGGCTTTGCAGGCGGCCAGCCAGAATGGCCACATCGAGGTCATACAGGTTCTGCTGCGGCACTCGGTTGACGTGGAGATTGAGGACAAGGACGGAGATCGCGCTGTCCACCACGCGGCCTTCGGGGACGAGGCGGCTGTAATCGAGATTTTGGCCAAGGCAGGGGCAGATTTAAATGCGCGCAACAAGCGACGGCAGACGTCGCTGCACATAGCCGTCAATAAGGGCCATTTGAACGTGGTAAAGACGCTGCTCACGTTGGGCTGCCATCCCAGCCTTCAGGATTCCGAGGGCGACACACCTCTGCACGATGCCATCTCCAAGGAGCACGACGAGATGCTCTCCCTACTGCTGGACTTTGGGGCCGACATCACGTTGAACAACAACAATGGCTTTAATGCCCTGCATCATGCTGCCCTCAAGGGCAATCCCAGCGCCATGAAGATCCTGCTGACCAAGACAAACCGCCCGTGGATCGTGGAGGAGAAGAAGGACGATGGCTACACCGCGCTGCACCTGGCGGCACTCAACAACCACGTTGAGATTGCCGAGCTGCTCGTGCACATGGGCAAGGCCAATATGGACAGGCAGAATGTGAATCTCCAGACGGCCCTGCATCTCGCGGTGGAGCGTCAGCATGTGCAGATTGTCAAGCTGCTGGTGCAGGATGGTGCCGATTTGAATATACCCGACAAGGATGGCGACACTCCGCTGCACGAGGCGCTCAGACATCACACGCTTTCGCAGCTGAAACAACTGCAGGATGTCGAGGGATTCGGCAAGCTTTTGATGGGCCTGAGGAATGCGAATAACAAGAAGGCCTCTGCCTCGATTGCCTGCTTTTTGGCTGCCAACGGCGCTGATTTGACGCTGAAGAATCGAAAGCAGCAGACTCCGCTGGACCTGTGTCCCGATCCCAATCTCTGCAAGACCCTGGTCAAGTGCTATAACGAGAGGAAAACCGACGACTCCGAGTTGCCCGGCAATGTGGCCGGTACGAGTTCGAATGCCAGGGCAAGAGCCGCCAGCAGTGGCGGTCTAAATCAATCCTCTTCGGCCAGTTTGCCGCTGGCTAACTTGGCCTCCAGCTCCACCTTCCCCGCCGCCTCCTCGTCCTCCATATTTGCGCTCAACGAAATGAGTCAGTCGCTGCACGAAGATGCCCCCAAATCGACGCCCAGCCTGGATGAGTGCCTCGTTTGCTCGGATGCCAAGCGGGATACGGTGTTCAAGCCCTGCGGCCACGTCAGTTGCTGCGAGACCTGCGCTCCGAGGGTGAAGAAGTGCCTCATCTGCCGGGAGACGGTCTCCTCGCGCGAGAAGATCGACGAGTGTCTCGTGTGCTCGGATCGGCGGGCAGCTGTTTTCTTCCGGCCCTGCGGTCACATGGTTGCCTGCGAGCACTGCAGTGCTTTGATGAAGAAGTGCGTGCTGTGTCGCACGCAGATCGATGAGATCCTGTCGTTTAGTCTCTGCTGCGGCGGCAGTGGACGACCAGAGAAGGTCACTGCGGCCGCTGGAGGAGCGACTAGCGTGGGTCTGCCGCTTGCAGAGGAACGATTCATGGAGGCAGCAGCCGCAAAGGGAGCAGCCTGTTCCAACAACTCGGGCCATAATGTAGTCATGAACAACACTGTTGTTACCCCGGTGGCGGGCAGCAGCAATCCGCTGAATAGCCAGAACAATCTGCTGGCCGCTGCAGCAGCCTCTTCGAATGTCTCGAATCTAGCGGCCGGTGGAAGCGTGATGGTGGCCCCCTCCAATGTCAACAACTTCCAGATGGACGTGGTGCAGAAATTGAAACAGCAGTTGCAGGACATCAAGGAGCAGGTGAGTTTCTACTCAATAATTTGTAGAGATTTAAAGTTATATATGGGCACTTCCACCAAAAGGTCCACCAAGCCAAAAATCTTGAAACTTTAGTAAAACATATTTCCACATAATTTTGCCCCGATATTAGTTTCTAAATAGTTTGATCCTGAGCCTAACAAAAAATTTGGAGTATAGTTTAATTATTTTTATGTCAAACCCCATTTGGCTATTTTTTTTGTTATTTTTTTGGACCTGTCTTCAGTTGTTAATTTATCCTTTAGAAATGCTACTATGTGACATTTTTTCGTACTGAATGCTTCATTTACAGGTTAAACTATTAAGCTAAAAGCAAAACAGCCAGTAATTGATAGATGTCAAGAAATACACTTTACAAAACGCTAAGAAAAAATGTCCCGAGCGAATATGGTAGAAACTGCATAAAAAAAACGGCAAGCAATTTTTGAGTAAAACCAAAAATTCCATAATTCAAATATTCCATAAGAATTCGCTAAATTCTGGTGTTGAATGAACTTCCCCGAAACCACCTTCTATTTTGGTGCCGAGCGAATACGGCAGTTTTTTAACGATATCTTAAAAGCTAAAAGTCGTAAAAAAGATTTTTACACAAAATAGAGCTTGGAAAGAGTAAAAAGAAAAGCCCATTATTAAAATTAAAATCCATTTTTTTACAATTTTTTCTCAATGCAAATGTCCCGGGCGACAATATGGAAGTGCCCATATATTTTTATTATAATATAATAAATATATAATATTATATTTATAATATATATATTATTATTGAAATTTCTTTTCCAGACCATGTGCCCCGTCTGCTTCGACCGCATCAAGAACATGGTCTTTCTGTGTGGCCACGGCACCTGCCAGATGTGCGGCGACCAGATAGAGGGATGTCCCATCTGCCGCAAGACGGTGGAGAAACGCATCCTGCTCTTCTGAAGCCCCTTCCCGGCCCACACATTCCGCGCACAGTCTGCACAGCCTTCGAAGTATTAGGATATTTAACGGACTCACATTCTTATAAACACACAATACACAATATCATATATATAACTATATATCGATGGTCTTATAAAGCAAAAATATATTTTTAACAAATATTCAAACAAAGATATCAAGCGGAAATACTTTTGCCGGGCTCCTTGCTAATCAGGTCCTTGAGAATGTCCTTCTTGGCCAAAAAATAGTCACGGAACCACAGGATGTGATCCTTCTTCTCCTGGGCGGTCACATAGGGATTCTTGGACAGGCCCACGCAGACGAGCTCCATGAAATGGCGGATGGGTCCCTTGCTGGGACACCATTCCTCCAAATGCTGTTCGAGGAAAATGTGTTCCGAGAAGTCCACGTTGTCCTCGTCCGACCAATCCTGCTCGTTGTTAATGGGAAAGCGCCACACTTTGCTCTGATCCGTCCACAGGACCATCTGCTCAAAGTAATTCGCCGGCGGATGGGCCGCTTGGAGGCTCAGCTCCCGCTCGCTGAGCTGCGCCCAGGTGGACAGGATGTCGGGGGAACTGGGCAGCTGGGTGTCCTTGAAGATGCCCAGCGGTTCGCCGCCATACAAGTTGACACTGCCCGTAAAGGATTCGGCCTCCCGCTTGATGTGCCTCTGTGGCCGCTGATAGCCACCGTCTCTTCCCTGCAGCTTGGACCTGGAGGCCAACGAGCGACGCACGTACTCGCCGCGAGTCTGCTCCTGCTGTGGCTGCTGGCGACGATCGATCTTCATGCCCACAATTAGATCGCTGTGGAAAATGAATTGGGATTGATTAAAATGTTGAATCTTTATAAATATGTTAAAAACCTCTACCCACGATATTTCTAGGGATATAATTTTTAATAAATGAGTCACTAATTGGAGCCAAGAATTTTTTAACCTAATGATAAGATTTGACAAAAAAAAAAATTAGTTAATTTTTTGTTATTTAAAGTCACAAAAATTCAAAAAAATTCCAGTTCTTTATGAAACTATTTTTTTCTAGTTTTATATTTTCTAAAATGATTGAGTTGGAAGACTGAAATGATATCCACAAATTCATAAGATTGTAAAGATTATTGTGCCTGTGACACCAGAAACTACAAAAAATCAAGGATTTAAAACTAGCCAGCGATTTCTGTGGAATCTTAGATCGTTTGGTCTTGGGATATATACATACATACATACATTAGGGCGGTCCACAAAATACTAATGTAAGCAAAAAATGTATATGAAAACAAAATTTTTTTACGGGATTTAATCTTTGCGAAACGTTTTTAAATTGTTTTAAAAAATTACTCATACGACACGTATAACAGTTCGAATTTGGTTGAAAAAATCGTTCTCTCATTTCTTTTCTTGTCAAAATATGAATTTCGTTGGAATAATTAAAAAAAAAGGGACAGCAAAACATCAACTGAATTGTTAAAAACCATACCACCTTGATTAGAAAAACTTTTTGATCGAAGGCAACAGTGCGTATGGGTGATAATATATGATTATAATAACCAGGAATATTTTGTAAGATTTTGACCCACCTCAGATTGAGTTCCTTTTCGGCAGCAGGGGCAGCTGAAGCATCAGCCGTCTGACTATCTCCTTTTGCCGCTGAAGAGGATTCGCTGCCGTGACCGAGGAGTTTGGCCAGCAGCTCCGACTCCGTCTGCTTCTTGTCGCTCTCGCTGGTGCCCAGCATGCTGGCAATATTCTTGGCCGCCGTCAGGACATTCTTGGAGGCCGCCTCCTGTTTCTGGGCCTCCCTGCGCTTCCGGTTGGCGTCGCCAGGACGTGGAAAGTCGGAGGCCGACAGCTGATCTGTGGCCTGCATGGTGCCCAGCAGGCGGTTCAGTCGCTGGGCCGCCGTCTCCTTTTCCTTGGGCGTGTCCTTCTTCTTCGTGGGCTTCTCGTCGTCCGAGGAGGAGTATCCATCGTCGTTTTTGGACTGCGAGGAGGAGTAGCTGGCCAATCCCACGTTTTTGTAGGCAGCCGGCAGCAGGGAACTGCAATTAATGGGGGTCAGATGAAGGATTCCTAATTACTTAGACTTGTAGACTACCGTAAGCTCAATCTCGGGGTGCTGCGTAGGGCCAACATTCTACCCGATTTCTTTGATAAATTTAACTAGAAATAAAAACTTAAAAAATCGCTCGCGTAACAACAATCCGGCAGAGAGTTGCCAGACTTTTTAGGTTTCTTAGGACTGCAATTGTAGCTAATTTATAGCCAAAGTTGGCTACTTTTGTATTAACTTACAATTTAAAACATTAACATTTTTTTGTTAAATGTTACTTTTATTTTATTTGATCTGATGTTAATAGTCACTCATAAAGCTAAGGAGTCTATAAAATTAGTTTAAAATCTAGCTATTGTGTACTCCGTTTAGCTACTCAAAATTTTAAATTAATCGTTAAATTAATTCAACCTGGGATTTCTCCGATACAAATCGTGGAGCGCCTAAAATGTGAAAATATCAAAAAGTCAGTTTTTTGGAAAATGAAAAATGTACTTTCAGTTGGTTGTGGTCTTTAGTTTCACACATTTTTGTTTGGTTTTTTTTAAATAATTATGACTTTCAACTCTCCTTTTATTCCAGCAGACCGTCACAATTTTGGTATTAATGGTGTTAAGTAAAGTAATTTAAAAACAAATTATTATTTTAAATTAAAATCCTCCAAATTTTGGAGATTTGGTCTCGTAACATTTCGTTAAGACTTACATTCAGTTATCGATAGTGACACCGCGGTCACACCATTTCTCTCGTGGCGGAAAAGGTAAACCGATTCAGTCATCGATAGTGATATCGATGTTTTTCCACCTATACGATATATACCAAAATGTACTAATTTTCTCCACAGCCAATTGGCTGCGTCCACACTTTTCCACTCGTTTTGGTTTCGCTGTTCGTATTACTTTTTTTCGACGTTCACTACTCACGCGTTTTGTTTTTTTGCGCGATTAATTAATGGCAGGATGCGAGCAGGGAAGACGAGTGCGAAAAATTAAATAACGAGAAACGAAAACATCAGCGCCGAGCAAGTGTGCGTGCCAGTGCGTACATGTGTGAGTGGCTCTGTCTGTGTGGGCGTTTATAAATAAAACGCTGCGAAGCTGTGTGCGAAAAGCAGACGCGGATGAAGAAGTAAAAGAATGAGCGCGACCAAAAATTAAAAACAAGAGCGAAGGAAAGAAAGAAAGTGTTTTCTAAAATCGTTTAAAAGTTTTAAAGTTACAAAAACAACCCAGAGGCGAAAGTGCAACGGAGCGAAAGGGAAAGAGAGAGAGAGAGAGCGATAAATAGCGAGGTGAATATCAAAGGGAAATAAAACGAAGCGAACGGACGGCCAAAGCGTAATTGTAAAATTCCACTGTCTGGGGCTATCAATTGGTGCATGTGTGTGTGTGAGCTATATATACGTGGTATATACGACATGTATATATTCGTATATACATCGATGTACGAAGAAAACATGGAAATATAATATCTCGCGATAATTGTCATATCATATGTATCTCTCATGTGTGCGCAACATTTTGCAGCTATCCTATCCGAAACCGATCTGATTTATCAACCTGTTAAGCGAAGTGGAGCCAAGAACCGAGTGCTTAAATGGATGCAACATCAATAATCACGCAAGTTTCCCGCGACGACGAGCAACTGAACGTCTATCCCAGCTATCCCAATGACAAAGGTGAGAAAATGGGGGAAAAACGGGGAAAACCGGGGGAAACCCAGACCCAATAGAGGCCTTCACTCATGAGTCATGACTCATCGCTACTTAAAGGCGTCACAACAAAGACGAAAGGACACTTGTCCGCTGCCAAGAAGTTGCCCCCCACTTACCACCCAACAACACCCACCAAAATAACCCCAACACCCCGCTGACCTTTCGAGCTCACCCAATTGCGGTCAATATAATTGTGGGAATATTTAGTTGTACATATGTCGTTTTTTCTGTAGGTCGTAACGAATTTAATGGCATTGGGCTTTTTTTTATAATTTATACAGGCGGCACTTAAAATGAAACCCAAGAAAACATTTCATATTAAAAAGAAAAATTCATTAAATATAATAATTCGTTGTTCTTCCGTACATTCTTAGCCTGTGAGTCGTACTTTCTGTAATTCAAAACAAATTATGTGGCAAGTGACAGCAAAAATAATAATCTTAATATCTATGTACTTAAATACTTATAATTTCTTTAAATAACTAGAATACAAATGTTTTTCATTTTAAAAAGCGAAGAACCTAAAATGGTTTTACAGAATTCATTAATTTCTGTATCTCTCACCCAAAACAATTTTACAAAACCCAATTTTCAATGAATTTAAAATACTATCAGCGCAAAAATCTTTATCTTATCGCAGTTCGCCATCGTGCATTTGCATTAAAATAAATGAATTCACTCGGGCTTTCACTGTGACGAATAATAATAGTTAATAATGGTATAATTTTCACCCCAACTGTGTCTGTTGTGATTGTTTCGCCCCCTTTTTTATTCAGCACACAGTGTTTTCTTGTTCGTTGGCCATTGTGAATGATCTAACCACTTGCTGGCTTCGTTTTGTGGTTGTTGAATTATTTTGCGACGCAGTTGCAACTCTGCCGCCACCCGCCGCCTGCCGCCCATTTGCCACCCACTGGCCCACTCCCACCTGTAATCAATTGATGACGTCTTTCGGCGCATGTGACGTCATGGAATTTCGACACGAAAGCCTTTTCTTTTCTCCAATTGTATTTTATTTTCTTCTTTTTCGCTCGCGTTAACTGCTTAACTGCCTTTGCATGTTTACTTTCGAGGGTCCAACAATAGAAACTGCCAATTAAATTGCACAGTAAAAGCCAGCAGCAAAAAGCGTACAAAAAAGTTAAGAAAAAATAGAGGAAAACCGGTATGAAGAGAGGGAGAGACAGCCAAAGAGAAAGAGCACAATAAAACTAGTTGTGTGTGCTTTTTTTTCTTACAGTGATGCAAACAAACAAACAAAGCAACAGACGAACAACAAAAGAGTAGCTTAAAGGTTGCGAGATATGGTTGTAATGAATGAATGAATAAATGAATGGTGAGAGCCAAAGAGAGAGGCCTAAGTACACATACAAAAATTGATTTTAAATATGAATAATCAAAATTAAATTATATAAAATTAATCTGTATGAAAAAAGATACAAATTTAATCAGCTGTGGGAGCTCCGCTTTTATTACCAGACTTCGATATTTAACTGTCTAATTTAATTTATTTTCATTCATGTACTACAATAATATCAATACCTTAAATATGTACAACTTGACCTAAGATTTAAAAATTTTTTTCTGTGCTGAGAGCGAATAATCAAGAGGGTGGGGCTAACCATAGAAAAAACCGCGATGAACGCCTTAAAGTAAAGTAATAACTAATTTAATCTAATCTGCGGTCGCCACTGCACCTTTTATACATGGCCACACATGTACAGGCTATACTTGATATATTATATACGAAATATTTGCGGTTAGGCGTTAATCGACGTCGTTCGCTCACTTTGATTTCGATTTGATTTTGATCGACGCTGCTGCCAATTTGGCGCAAATAAATGTATTTTTTCTTATCTCTCCACCGATCTATATGTGTCACAAGCTACATATATTGGAAATCAATTCAGGAGCCCACATCTTGAAATCAAGTTATCCCAATGGGTTCCAAATAGGAATCTAAGCGGTTTTTACTAGTTGGGCTTTGAGAGAGAGCGTGAGATAATAAGTGAGACGTCATGACAGCAGCATGTACAAACACTTGAGGTCAAGATAGTAGTACACTAATTAAAAACAAAATAATTTTACGCTAAAATACTGAAGTACATATACATATAATACTGTTCATTTCTTTTAGTAATAACTGAAAAATACAATTATATTGAACTTTCTAATTTGGAAACAAACTATGGGATAGTAAACTAATCAGTTATTCATTTTATACTTTTACAGATCATCTATCAGCTAATTAGTAGTTCGTAAAAACAGATCACGTCATATAAAGATTATTTTCCAAAGCTCTTTCTAAGAAACCCACTTCTATTATTCTGATCTCAGCTGTTTTTCGTGTGTGAGCGAGTGGGTGTAAGCGGTCCAGTGCGAGTGCGAGGAGCACGGCAATAGGGGCAAACCGGCAAACGAACAGCAACAGTTGAAATATGTTTTTCTTTTTTATTTGAGAGTGGGTGCCGCCGCCTAAGTGCTTTTTGCTTTGCCTCACCGCGTATAAATATTAGTATAGATATATGTTCGCCATAACGTCTCCCTGCCCCTCCCCCTTCGACTCAACCTCGCTTATAAATACATCTATATTGTTTTTATGGGCAAACGCAGAATGCTCTCCTAGTATCTCATTTCTAGCCGCCTCAGCTGAACTGCTGTGATTTTTCAATTTTCTCAAGGTCTTGGAAGCCAAATTACTCACGCACACAGACAGCGCGTTTTTCCTCAATTTAACGCCCTTTTTCGAATATTTATTAATTTTCACATTTTTGAGCGAGTCCAAAAATAGCCAGATAATGTTAATTTAAAGAATACGAATTGAGTTCAAAGATCTCGTCCATAAACAATTTGGGGAAAATGGAAAAAACTGGATTGGTCGGAACAGCGAATTTTTACTATAAAATGCTGAAATGTTTATATATATTTTTGTATAAACATATCACTTGTTTTAATTCTTATAGTAATACCAAGAATTTTATGATTTTTTTACTATTGCATTTATTGCGCTAAGCCAAAAATAGATAAACAGCAAAATTGTTTAAACATTTATTCCACGCTCTGAAATATTTATAATTTAAATGTATAAACATTTTATATTACGCAATTATTAGGTAAATCCAAAAATAACTAAAAGTGATGGAAGTTGTGTGAATTAATTTATTTTAAGATTTTATTATTTTATAGAATAAACAAAATTAATGTTTATACATTTATTGCACGTGCCCGAAAAAGTTTAAGAGTGATAAACAAATGTCGAACAGGGTTCATAAACAAAGTGGAAGGTAAAGAAAGAGTGGAAGGTCGAAATATATTATTTTGTAAATCATTGTAAATTAATATTAGAAGTATGTTAAATTTAGAAAATTATGATTTTAAAGATTTAATTTTAATAGACAAAGTACACTTTCCTCTAAATATATCCTCCCCTCTTCAAAAGTGTATTTAAATTACGACCTTATGGGTTCTGAGATACACAAAACAGACAGAGAACAGATGCATTGCAATGCTTAATTATTGAAAAAATAATATTATATACGGCACAAGATGAGCGGACTGCGTGCAAAAGATTTGTGCGATGTTATTTCCTATATACTAATGCCAGCAGACAAGAAACACTTTATAAAATGATGGCTTTAGCTTTTCCTTTTTAAATCGATAAAGGTCAACGAGTTCTGTACATTGAGATTTTATCTCCATGCTGGATATAGGTTCGTTGAACTACGATGGGGGTTAAATAAAGGCCAACCCCCAAAAAACAAAGGCTGAATTGGGGTGCTGCAGTTCTAGAGAACCCATCCTTATAAGGGAGATAGCAAATTGAGTTTACGAAAATTGGAAAGCAGGTGTTGCAACAGGTACAGTGAGAAAAACTCTTACTCTTGCTCTCATAGCACATAAAAATGTTCATATTCCTTTAGTCGATATTTACTGTACCCCATTGACACTTTTTTTTGCCCATTTATATCACGTGCCATTAACTTTGTTTGCCATCTTCTTTTGTCGCGGCTTAAAAGTTAAGCTGCCTCTATCTTGAAGTTTAAAAAAACAGAAAGCAACAAAAAAAACTTCATAAATATGCTGAAGGTCGAGACTGAGTGGCATTTTTGTTGCTCTTGGAATCGGCAAGAATGATATCATAGTGTGCCCCCCACCAGATAACAAACATTTTGATTAGATAAGCGACTGTGGCCGAGAACCGAATAAAAAGTTTCAACGGTGTGTGTGCGGCATGTGGGCAATTATATTCTCGATTTCTTATGAATTTTTCTTTTATTTGCTTTAAATTAATTATCAAATAATACCCCCCTTGACGTGTTGCCCTCTCCTTATCTGACATAAAAAAGACCTTGCCCGCCAACAGAACCGAAAGTTGTCAAAGAAATATGTTCCAATTATAACAAAAGAAAATCTTTCGAAATTGCCATTGCCGTTCCGCATCAGTGGAGATACATATAGACGGTTGTGTTGGCTTTTCTGGATCTGTATGTTGACGGGTTGTCCTGCAGATCGAGCCCAATTGACGCGTGAGGCCGTTTAACAGTCTGGCGGAGAAGGATTCGCATTTACATAAATTAATGCAGCGATATGGTTGCTACCGTCTTTGTCTGCATCTTTTTTTTTTTTATTGTTTTTAATAAGTCTGTGACTTAATCGCTTGTCCTTATTTTTTATACTCGGTATTAGATCGGTTTCTGCCAAAGAACTTTGACTTAGGCAATTGTTCTAGACTTGGGAACGTTATAAATATTTCATTGCTATAATACAAGTCGGATATAATTTGTATGCTAATAAAACTGGTTTAGAGAATATAAAGAGAATAAAATAATTAGCAACAGTTAACTTTATCGAGTATTCATATTGTAAAGCAATCCCTTGCACTGGGAAATAATATTAGTATTTTAAAAGTAATAAATCAAACCATTGCCTTTTACCATTTTGTTTTGATTTGTGGACATCAAAGGCAACCTGACAAAAATAATTGCTCTCGAACCCACTGAAATATTTAATAATTCAACGTGACCGACTCGTTTCGCATACTTTCGGCCCATATTTGGGTGTCTATTAAAACAGAATCTCGTAGAGACATGACAGATTGTTGCCCCAATAATGAGCTATAAATATGGTCATCTAAATATGTCTGGAAACGAGCACAAGAAGAATGCGAAGCAACTGCCCACACAAATCCAGCGACGCTCCAAACACCTTAAAATAGGACAAAAGCCTATTTGAGTGTGATGTGGGTGAGTGGGTGCTTGAAATGAAATGGATGGGAGTGGATTGGTTGGAGGTGTTGCTCCATCGACGACCCAAATATAGATTGCCTATCAATAATCAGCAAGGATACAGAGCGCAGTTTTCAACAAGTTGAGTGTTTCGGGTTGGCTTTCGGCCCCTTTTATGCAAAGTTATGCAAAAAGTTAAGAGGTGAGCGCGGAAGGAAGGGAACGGAGGGGGGAATGGTTCACCTGCCTAATAATTACAAATGCCAGACGCTGGAAAAAGCTTTCATTATGCTAGAGAAGCAGCAGCAACTACAACAAGAGCACACGCTCATAAAATATTCAAGTGCATTTGCACTTCACTTGCAAGGGTTCTATGAGAAAAAAATACATTAGGAAAAAACAAGAGGGGAAAGGCAGGTTTAAGTACCCTTTGTAGACCACTCTTTGCAAGCTACGATCTTAAAAACATGTCGTGAACGAGATCTTAATTTACATTATCCTTGGTTCTGTACATTCTTTTCCTTAGGTCAAATATTTTAGAGATAGCTAATTCTTTTTTTTAGGTTTTAATATTTTACTAGCTTTTATGGACTTTTCAAAACTATAGATTTTTATGCCCTTTTTTTTAATGTATTCTAACTTTATAAATCATATTACTTTTAGGAGGCGAAGACAAGTAAAAATTATAAAAAATGTATTTATTTCAGTTTAAGAGTTTTCACTCTTTCATTATAAAAGTAATATTTAACAAGTACTAATACCTATTCTTAAACTTATAAGAATTTATAAAATATCTTAAAATCAGTTGCATTTGTAGTAAAATAATGCTGATACCTTAAAAAAGGGTATGGTAAAAACAGCGGCACAGAAAGAAAAAGCTCGTCACATCCTAAGCTCAGTTTTCACTTGGCTAACGGTTCAATGAACCGTTACGTCTAGCTTAGCCAACAAGAAGGACGCTTCCCCACCTCCTGCCACCCCCTTTCCACCCACCACCCGGCACATCACCGACTTGAAGCTTGTTTTCTCTGCTAAGTGATGTTTGACTGCTGTTTCCTTTTGTTGCCATACAATGCAAATTGCGGACGGACGCATTTTCGCTATCCTCTATCCCTGGCTCTCCATTCGCCAGCTCCTCGCTCATCCCTTTTAGCCAAGGTGGCCGCACCTCAGGCCAGCTTAAAGGTCAACCTGTGACCTTCTATCCATCCATCTATCTATCCAACTAACTATCTCACTGACTCGTTGCATGCTACAGTATAACTTCCTTAACTTGAACTTTGATTGGTTTAATTATTATATAAAAATGTTGCTAGTGTTATTTTCAAAGAATATTTTGTAACAGTGAAATTCACAGCAATTAGCTAAGTTCTAATTTCAAATAAGTTTCTTTTATATTAAGTTTTCATAAAAACTGTGCCATTTTCTAATTATTTAAAAAGAAAAATATTGAAGTAGATTTATGTAAATAGTTATTTTATTAGTTGAGTTGTATTTTAATTACATTTTATAATTGGTGTGTTTAGCGGTGAAGCTGGACTGTAACTCGCTCTACCTGCTACTTTGTTTGCATGCAATTATAGCATTTCCCATCGATTAAACGCATTTTCCACCCCTAACCCCACTCCCGCCCCCTCGCCCCGCAGTGTTGCTGCCTTCTAGTTTTGCCTTTGACTTCTATTTTTAAACATTTTCGCACAAAAACATAAGCCACAAACCAAAACACACTGGCGGCCAAGCAAAAAACTAAAACAAATTGTCTGCATTGCATGTACTGCAGTATTAACCAGATATAGAAATTGGAATAGATCTATATTTGTATTATGCAAATGTAGCAAACAAAACAGACAATGTTTATGTCATTATGGGGCACAAACTGTAAATAGTAATCCAAGCAAGGCGAAACATCCATACGAAAATGGAATGAAAATATATACATATACATACGTGAAAGTGAAAACATCGTGGGCGCATTTAGGGGTCTTAAATATTGCTTGAGAAGTTTTTATGAGGCAGCTAGAATTTTGTTTAAATTAATGGAGGAGCCATCAAGAAAATGCTTGGAATTTCTATTAAAATATATGAAGTTTAACCGAAGGAATGTATTTGCTAATTAGCCATCCTTATTGAGATTTATGATGATCTTAAATACGTACTTTACCACAAATTAGTTTGTTTTATTAAACATTTTTTACAAAAGTAATAAAGATCTTAAAATATTACATTTCTGAAAAAACACCTATCATATCATATATCATCATTCAACATGTCCTACCAAATAAATAAATACTTTACTTTATGATATGAATTATTGAAAACTGAACAAACATTTTCCATTTATTTATTTTTATATCTCTAGACGATGTGGATCGCCTAAAGCCACAGAAGCGAGGATTATTCCAATCTCTGCTTTGCTGCTGGCGACGAAATCGAACGAAAACCAACCAGAATGGCACACAAATCGATGGTTCAACAACACCGCCACCGTTACCGGACCAACAAAGGTACCTACTACCTCAGGTTAGGCTTACCGATATGCACAGAAAGTGCATGGTCATTGATTTGGATGAGACCCTAGTGCACAGTAGTTTTAAGGTGAGTCCATCTGGAGCATCCTTAAATATTCCCCACATTAATATTATGTGCGTTGTACGTTTCAGCCCATACCGAATGCTGATTTCATAGTTCCAGTGGAGATCGATGGAACCGTACATCAGGTGTACGTTCTGAAGCGACCGCACGTAGACGAGTTTCTGCAGAAGATGGGTGAACTGTACGAGTGCGTTTTGTTTACAGCATCACTAGCCAAATATGCAGATCCCGTTGCCGATCTGTTAGACAAGTAAGTTGAGATTAAACTAAATAAATGTATATACTTTATTGAAGTTAACTACTAAAATATTTGCCAAACTTTATTTTCAGATGGAACGTGTTTCGTGCAAGACTGTTTAGGGAATCGTGCGTTTATTACAGGGGTAATTACATTAAGGATCTGAATCGTCTGGGGCGGGATCTTCAGAAGATTGTCATTGTCGACAATTCTCCAGCCAGTTATATCTTTCATCCAGACAATGCAGTAAGTAAAAACATTTAAAAATATAAGTATACCCATAATGATGTATTTAATTTCCCTGAAAGGTTCCTGTAAAGTCCTGGTTCGACGATGTGACCGACTGCGAACTGCGCGAACTGATCCCGCTCTTTGAGAAGCTCAGCAAAGTTGATTCCGTCTACTCGGTGCTCTGCAATTCGAACCAGCCGCTGAACAATCAGACCAACCAGCAGCATCCCCAGGAGCTGCAGCAGGCGCCGAACCAGCTGCATCAGCAGCACCAACAGCAGCAGCAACAGACCATCTCTGCCACGACAGTTATTACCCAGGCAACCACTCTGTCTGCTCCGACCATGTTGAACCAGCAGCAACCCAGTCCGACCAGCCCACAAAGCGAGCTGCTGCAAAAGACGTAACATCAGTGGGAACTAATGTTTATAAATATATGATAAATTGTATACATATTACAAGACCAAGCAAGCCGATAAGCAAGCAAACAAACACGCCCCTTTCCCAAGCTCTTCGCTCATTGACCCAGGACGAAAGAAAACGGGGAGACGAGGTGAAACCAACTACCATTTGCTATATACTATAACCCCGCTCGACACCTAGACTAAGCATAAGTTTTATATGATATACATAATTTTTACAGAACCCTATTTACACGGCACATTTGTTATTTATTCTTGTTTTGCTCTACCAATTATAACTATTATTATTTTTTGTGTTTTTTTTAAACAACTGCTAATTGCTTATTGCGTTTTGCGGTACCCCGTCTAAGGGGTACAATAAACCCAAACATAAGCCTCTATTTTTACCCAATAATCATAACTCTGTAAGCATATTTAATGGTAAACCAACTGAGCAAGCAAAAGATTTAAATGCATAAAAAATGATAACTATACATATGAGCAGAGAGATAAAATCAAATTCAAAATAGCTATATTTATATATATTTTTTATTAAAAAAGAAAACAAAACAAAAATAAATAGGGGTAAAATGAGGAGATGAGAAAACAGAAAGGAAAACTTAAAACAAAATATATAATATGTGTACTAAAAGAAATTTATATATACATACACGGATATATATTTAAGGCGTGTCTACACATGTTTATAGCACTAAGGCATGTATAATATTTCGTATATTTATTAAAGAAATAAGTTTAAACGCGGTCTCCCACTCACGCTTGATTGTTGGCACTGGCAAATGTCAAAGTTGGTATATCGGGTTTATTGCGGGGATGGGGATGGCTTCGTCTTATCACATTCTGGTTTCCTGAAATGTCTGTCAATCGTGAGTGGTTGGGCCGCATTTAAACGAGTTTAGGTTGCATTGCAAGAGGGTGAAAATGGGCTATCTGTAAGCCACATTGTAAAGCATCTAAAAGTCTGCGGCGCGTCCGTAGTTAATATATAAAGAACAGCTGAGACTGCGCTTGTCCGTGGCCCAAAGACGCGAATTTCCATTCAATCCCAAACTGTACTCACATTCAATCCGATCTGGTATTAAGATTGTCCCACAGTCCTAGCGCAAATTCAAATTCTCGTCTTTGAGACCCTGCCAAGCGCAGTTGAGAAACATTGTACTAGGCTTAAATGAAAATTATACATCTATATATTTTAACCAACTTATGTTAATTTCCCTTCTTATCAAGTGCGCTTATGAAACGCATTGCAATATATATTTACGACTACTTTAACACTTCTTTGACTTGTACTTCATCTTCGGCCGCGTTCTGTATTCTGTGTTAGCATGTGAAAGCCGGCAACCGATTGTAAACGATAAAACACCTATAGCTTCTTTCAACTCCGACCAAATATCAATCATTATATAGTATATGTATTGAGCTCAAGCTGGCCACGCCGAAATCCCACCTGATAAATATATTATATAGACAAAAGACGCTATTGCTATCCAAACCACACGACACGCTCACAGACCAGTCCAGATCTTCTTTCAATCCTTTACTCTATATGTAATGTCTATGTCTTGTATTCCTCAACTAACTTTTGCAACAATTCTTTTACTTAGAGCATAAGCCTTTGTGTTTTTAATTTGCTTTAACTAAAAAGCGTAATATTGAAGGAAACAAAAATTGGCACGTTGCAAACGCGCGATATTCTCATATTTTTTGCAATCAAGCAAGTAAATTAAACATAATGCTAAATAATATATGTATTGTATATCATTTACACCCGCTGCAAAGGTCTAACGGAAAAGGATCGCAACTAATCACGAAAATAATATGAAAAGCGTGTTTTAATTGCGTACATTTAAATGTTTTACTTTTAATAAAAGCAAAACTAAAAAATAAACCATTCAACTTAATTTATCATAAAAGGGAAGAAATTCTATTTTTAAAGTGAGCCTATAAATGTAATGCATCAATGTCGACAAAAAAAATAATTAAAAAACAAAAAAATGAAATTTCAAAATCTACAAATATTATGTCATCAAACAATAAAAACAAATTAAAACCCATTTGGAGCGCGTTTTATCTTATTATTTTATTTATTGTTTACTCGTAGAGTGAAAAGGTATATTGTATTGGTGGAAAAGTATTTAACAGATAGAAGGATGCGTTTCTGGACCCTAAAAAGTATATATATTCCTGATCAGGATCACGAACCTAGTCGATCTAAGCATGCCCGTCGGTCTGAACACTAAGATCTCGGAAACTATAAAAGCTAGAAAGTTGGTATTAACCATGCAGATTCTTTTTAACGATTTCGGATAAAATACATGCAATTTGGTTGTGTTTATTAATTACCTGTCGAAATGTTGAAGACATTTTTCAATTAGGACCATTCAGTACAAAGTTATGAGGAAATAATGAAATTCAAGCATTGCAAGCCGTCGCTTTGCCCATTAGCAACCGATTAATAACTAATATAACTGCAAACTCATTGGCTTTTTTTGAATACGGAATAAAGTTCTATTTATTATTCAAATCTGTTTTTAACGCACATACACATACACTTCATCGAGCTCACAATTTCCATCGTTCTACACACTATTTAATACATTCATTTATATATCTTTAGTTAAATATATTTGTCTTGAACTTAGCCGCTAAACTAAAGATGTAGGCAATGGGGTTGATTTGCTTGATTTTCATTAAATAGGCCAAAAACACTTAGTTTATACGTTTATATGCGCAATGCTTTCTGAGGCCTTGCTTGATGTTAGATCTTGTTCGGTTTAGATGTATAGTCTTTTGAAAGCTATCTTCTTGTAGCGATGCGAGCGAAAGGAATATACAAAATGGATTTGAAACATATACATAACTTTTATAGCAAATCGATTCATCTCCAGCTCCATCTCCATTTGTATAATCTCAAATACAAAATACATCGAAAAAGTTGTGTGTTTTATCATCAATATTTAGTACATAGTTGAAAATGTTTGCTTAGCGATTCATCGTATTAAATTGGTTTGTAGATTTCGATTGAATTAATATTTAAATGCATTTAAGTAACGTGTTACAATTACAACATATTTTATTCATTGCTATGCGTGTTGTTCTCAGGTTGCTGAAATTCCTTTTACATTATAAATAGATCATTTCATAGCTATATGGGTTTATTTAAATATGCAATTTATTTATCGATTTTGTGGCTGTAGTTGCTCATTAACATTTTACTTAAATGATTTTCTGACTAGACTAGTGCATAATTAGAATTGGATCGCATTTAGAATTAGTTCATTATTTGTTTAAGTATGCTAGTGCTTGGGATCAATTGGTTAATTTGTTGTCTTTGCTGTTTTTTCCATATCTAGTAATATTTGAAAAGTCTTTGCGTGTCGTTTCTGAAGCGAAGTTCTCGATACTAGAGAGCCGTCAGCGTCTCAAAGTAGGTGAAGACTGCGAATTCCTGAATTTTCACTATTACTTTTATTTCTCTAATATATAATGCTTAATTTTTTAGCCCAACTTGGAGAAACTTCGCTTAGAGTCCATGCAACATGCAACTCCCTTGAAACGTTGACAAAGTTTTCTTTTGGTGTCTCTTTTTTTGTTGTGTGCGCTTTACAATTTGTTAATATCTCAGTACGTGAATTAGAATCTTGAATATTGCACGCTTAAACAAACTCTGGTTTTGATTATGGTTGCATTGGTAAATTTGTTCGGTGTTCATTTGCTTACGTTTGCATTTATGTGGGTTTTTGGTATACAAATACTTTAAAGGACAAAAAACGTTTTGTGTACTTTCGGCTTATGATCGAAGAGTAAGAAATACGCAGAAATGTACAGAGTAATTACAGTAATACATGCATTATATGTACTTAAGTGAAGGGCAGCCGTGCTCGGCCAGGACCCCAACTCGTCCATCCGATATCGGTCAGCGATGACGCTTCTGTTTGTGTGGTTGTGTTGAATTCTTCTTCGCGAATCGCAGTTTGTGTTTATGTATTTTTGCAGCAGATCAGCGGGGACCAATTAAAATGGGTTGGATTTTTGGGAAAGAGAAAAAGCAGTAGCGGACTCTCTAAAGCGTTTGGTGTCGGTTGTTAAACATGCGCGATGGGCATCTGAAGCGTCTTCGCATCCCGATAGGACTTATCCTACACGTACTGGTGGTCGCCAGCCATGCCATCTGGGCAGTCGACGCCCAGCAGCGGCTCCTTCTCGATGGTCTGATGCGTCTGGGCATCGTAGTCGTAGTAGTTCATCCAGTCCACCCGCTTGGGCTGCACCAATCCGAAGCAGCTGCACTCGAGGAAGTCCACCAGATTCTGGATGGGACCCCGGGTGAACGGACTGTGGCCGCCCTTGGCCTGGAAGTGGCGATACCGTCCCCGGTTCATGCGCTCATTGGTGGTCATGCCCAGGCAGATCACCTGATATGTCTGACAGATCGTCAGCAGGATCACCCAGGACATGTGCAGCAGGGCGTTGCCCATTACCCAGCCCACCCAGGCATCGCAGTCGCCAATGGCCCGCATGGCACCGAGAAAATCTGTGTGAATGACTTGGGCTTTAGAAATTGCTTGGGGGAACAACTAACAAACTCACCATCGAATCGAACATTGCAATGGTTCACGTAGTACTTAGAGCCACCGTACAGCATCCAGACGCACATGATCAGCAGCATCCAGAGGAATCCCATGAAGTAGCTGTGGTTCTTCAGCCCGATGCAGTTGCCCACCCAGGGGCAGTGGTGATCGAATCTCGCCACACAGCGATCGCATACGGAGCAGTGCTTGGAGCGAATGGGACGGCGCACCAGGCAGCCGGAGCAGAAGGAGGCGGGCTCAAAGCCGATTCCACCTCGCTCCGAAAGCTCTATGATGGTCTAGGGGGGTTTACAAAGTAAATAACATTAGAAAAATAGATATAATATCAACAGAAACTATTCACCTTAAATCGCTGCTCCCTGGTGGGCCGAATAATGCCCGGATCGCCCTTCCACGACTTGAGGAAGCACACCCACAGGGCCAGTGACGAGATCAGGAAGCAAACGGTGGCCGTAAACGAGACAGACTCTTCGATATACATCAGCCAGGTGACATAGAACCAGGCCTTGGTGGCCAGGTAAACGCTCAGCGGCAGTAGGGCCATCAGGTGCTCATCGAACAAGGCCTTGCCGATCGTGTGGAATATGGCGTATAAACAGCCCAGAAGGAAAAACTTGATGATGTACAGCGTGTTCACGGTGAAGACGATGCCGGCCAGATAGAAAGCCGTGAAGGGACAGGCCACCATGGACCACCACCTCAGGCGTTTGTCGTGCCGCAGCTTGGAGACCAGCGATCGCCGTTGCTGCGAAGTGAGTGCCGCCTCCCTTACGCGGTCCATCACCTTGGCCCCTATCCAAATGGCTCCCGTTTGGGATTCCAACATCGAGAGCGGCGTTTCGCCCCGCAGATTGGGCACATCCAGCGAGGCCTTCGACTTGAGCACCAGTGTGGAAATGGCCGTGGCATTGCGCGCTAGAATGGCCCAATGCAAGGCCGTGTTTCCATGCGTGTAATCGACCATGGCGGGATTGGCTCCGAGGGTCAGCAGCAGGCGCACGGGATCCAGAGCGCAAACCTTAAAGGAGGTTAAATTAGAAATGCAGAATTTTTTAAACATCTCAAGCTAATTAAGTAATTAATTAAAGTAATTTATAAATACCTACATTTTTGATGAATGAGGGGATTTAAATGGTTTCAACTAAGAGTTTATGTACCTATAACATACATTCTACATTTAATAGCTTTCTAAACAAAATAATAAAAAAATATTACGTAAAATCTACGGAATTTTATTTCTTGAATGCTTATCTTACATTCCACTCAATGGAAAAAATGGAAAAAATCTTTGACAAATTGGACGAACTCCCAAAAGCATAATAAATTCAGTTAAATTTTAATAGCGCGACATTTTTATGATTCCACATGTTTATAAATTGATTGATAAACGAATTTAGTAGTAAAATACACATTCTACATTTTATAGCTTTCTAAACAAAATAATTAAAAATTTTAAAGTAATTTATACGGAATTTTATTTTTTGAATCCTTATCATACATTCCACTTAATGGAAAAATCTTTGAAAAATTAGCCAAACTCCCAAAATAATAATAAATTCAGGTTTATTTAATAGAACGACATTTTTATGATTCCAGATTTTTATAAATTGATTAATAAACGAATTAAGTAGCAAAACACACATTTTACATTTTATACCTTTCTAAACAAAATAATTAAAAATTTTAAAGTAATTTCTATGGAATTGTATTTTTTGTATCCATATCATACATTTCAATCAATGGAGAAAATCTTTGAAAAATTAGACGCACTCCCAAAAGAATAATAAATTTAGTTATATTTTAATAGCACGACATTTTCACGATTCTAGATGTTTATAAATTGATTAATAACATTCTACATTTTAAAGCTTTCTAAATAAAATAATTTAAAATTTTAAAGTAATTTCTATAGAATTTTTTGAATCCTTATCTTACATTCCACTCTATGGTAAAAAGTCTTTGAAAAATTAGACGAACTCCCAAAAGAATAATTAATTTAGTTATATTTTAATGGCTCGACATTTTTATGATTCCAGATGTTTATAACTTGATTGGTAAACTAAAAAACATTAATGTTTTTCGTTTTTTACCCTATAAAAACGTGCCAAACTCACCTTCCATGCTGCCCACATCAGCGCCGTCATTCCGCCCCGATCCTGGAGATCCGGATCCACGCCCTTCGCTATGAAGTAGGCCACCAGCGCGGTGTGCGCGAACTGTGCGGCGATGTGTATGCAGGAGCAGCCCTCCGCATCCCGGATCCTCGGATCTGCGCCGGCGGCCATCAGCAGGACGACGGCGCCGAGATGACCCTGCCGGGTGGCCCAGTGCAGGGGCGTGGCATTCAGCTCACCGCCCACGGCGTCCACGGTGGCGCCCTTCTCGAGGAAGTACCGGATGATGTCCCGCCGATTGTTGATGGCCGCCCAGTGGAGCAGGGTGACCGTCTCGCTGTCCGGCTGGTTGACATCCCACCCGGACTCGACCAGCTCCCGGACGCGGGCAATGGCCCCGTACTGGGTGGCCTTAACGATATCGAAGCCACTGTAGTCGGGCTCCACGGGCGCGGTGGGGGGTTGCTGGGCGATCAGCGCCGACTGGCGCTCGTTGTCCGGCTGCTGTCCGGCTCCCGGGACGCAGGAGCCCGTGGTGGCCGCCTGGCAGGCACTCTGGTACATCGCTGGCTTCTCTTTCCCTTGGGCTCGTCCAAACGTGATTCACACTGCGATGTGCTCGTCGTAACATTAACCGTCCATCCCCCTCCTTCCAGCGGGCGAGCGAGCGAGAGGTGAGGTGAGGTAAGTCGAGAGCGAGAGAGAGTGAGGGAGAGAGCAGGAGAGACACCCCCACCAGGCACTGTTTCGTGCAATTCACAGGTTTGTCATTTTCACCGGAGGATTCCTCGGCAGCTGCGTTCTCCTCCGTTTTGCGGGATCCTTTTCGCGGCAGGATCTCCTGGTGACGGCACGGCTATCGCGGTTATCAGTTTAATGCGTTTTACCTGCCAGTTTTGAAGGACTGCAAGCAATTTTGGTGGTACAATACAAGCTGATAGCACTGAGTGGCGCGTTTTCCAGCACTGCCAGGGAAATTCGCAAAATTTTCGGTATTTTTAAAACCGACTTGTGGTATTTTTAAGCGATTGTTAAAAATAATTGCACCTAAATTTTATTCGCGTGTGGCTGCATTATTTATTAAAAATAATTAAATTTTTATTTGAATTACCTTATCGTTCGTTATAGTTCGTTTAAATTTATTTTATTTTGCTGCCCTTTTATAAGAACTTTGGAAAATATGATTTCCATATATGTTTATTGTTGGGCCATTTCTTACATAAAAAATAAGATAAATTTTTAAGTAAAAATTTACAAAGTCACCGTTATTTTGCAATTTTTGGTATATTTTTAACACAGAAAAAGTTCACATTGCAATTGCAACTAAAACTGCGGTCACACTGGCACCACCTGCAAAAGCGCGCCTTATTTTTTGGCATCATCTTATCTTATGTTTTTGCTATAACAATTACATTTAGGTACCTAGAATGGACGCCAAGCGCAAGTTTAATGGCACCTCCAATGGCCACGCCAAAAAGCCCAGGTAGGGGAACTTAGGGGGAGTATAAAACAAGCCATTACATTTCTTGCACCACAGGAATCCCGACGAAGACGAGGAAATGGGCTTTGAGGCGGAGCTGGCTGCCTTCGAGAACTCCGAGGACATGGATCAGACTTTGCTAATGGGCGACGGGCCGGAGAATCAGCAGACCAGTGAGCGCTGGTCCCGCCCACCTCCACCAGATTTAGATCCCTTTAAGGACAACTTGCAGTTCCAGCAGCTGGATGTGGAGAACTACCTGGGACAGCCCTTGCCGGGAATGCCAGGTGCGCAAATAGGACCCGTTCCGGTTGTCCGCATGTTCGGGGTCACCATGGAGGGCAACTCGGTGTGCTGCCATGTCCACGGCTTCTGTCCGTACTTCTACATAGAGGCTCCCAGGCAATTTGAAGAGCACCAGTGCGAGAAACTACAGAAGGCCCTGGATCAGAAGGTCATAGCCGATATCCGGAACAACAAGGACAATGTCCAGGAAGCTGTGCTCATGGTGGAGCTGGTGGAGAAGCTGAATATCCACGGCTACAACGGCGACAAGAAGCAGAGGTACATCAAAATTACGGTGACACTGCCCAGATTTGTGGCCGCCGCCTCGCGGCTGCTCAAAAAGGAGGTGATCATGTCGGAGATCGACTTCCAGGACTGCCGCGCCTTCGAGAACAACATTGACTTCGATATCCGCTTCATGGTGGACACGGGAGTGGTCGGTTGCAACTGGATTGAGCTTCCCGTGGGCCACTGGCGGATGAGGAACAGCCGCAGCAAACCGCTGCCCGAATCCCGCTGCCAGATTGAGGTTGATGTGGCCTTCGACAGGTTCATCTCCCACGAACCGGAGGGCGAGTGGTCCAAGGTGGCGCCCTTCCGCATCCTCTCCTTCGATATCGAGTGCGCCGGTCGCAAGGGAATCTTTCCCGAGGCCAAAATGGATCCCGTCATTCAGATAGCCAACATGGTCATTCGGCAGGGAGAGCGAGAGCCCTTCATCAGGAATGTCTTCACCCTGAACGAGTGTGCTCCGATCATAGGAAGCCAGGTGCTGTGCCACGACAAGGAGACCCAGATGCTGGACAAGTGGTCGGCCTTTGTGCGGGAGGTCGATCCGGACATCCTGACCGGCTATAATATCAACAACTTTGACTTTCCCTACCTGATCAACCGGGCTGCGCACTTGAAGGTCAAGAACTTCGAGTATCTGGGCCGGATTAAGAACATTCGCTCGGTGATCAAGGAGCAGATGCTGCAGTCCAAGCAGATGGGTCGCCGGGAGAACCAGTATGTGAATTTCGAGGGTCGCGTGCCCTTCGATCTGCTCTTTGTCTTGCTGCGCGACTACAAACTGCGCTCCTACACGCTCAACGCTGTGAGCTATCACTTCCTGCAGGAGCAAAAGGAGGATGTGCATCACAGCATCATTACGGATCTGCAGAACGGAGACGAGCAAACGCGTCGCCGGCTGGCCATGTACTGCCTGAAGGATGCCTACCTGCCGCTGAGATTGCTCGAGAAGCTGATGGCCATCGTTAACTACATGGAAATGGCCAGGGTGACGGGTGTGCCGCTGGAATCGCTGCTCACCCGCGGACAACAGATCAAGGTGTTGAGTCAACTGTTGCGCAAGGCCAAGACCAAGGGCTTCATCATGCCCTCGTACACCTCCCAGGGATCGGATGAGCAGTACGAGGGAGCCACTGTGATTGAACCGAAAAGGGGCTACTATGCGGATCCCATCTCCACGCTGGATTTCGCCTCCCTGTATCCGAGTATAATGATGGCCCACAACTTGTGCTACACCACCTTGGTTCTGGGCGGAACGCGTGAGAAGCTGCGCGAGCAGGAGAACCTGCAGGATGATCAGGTAGAGCGCACGCCGGCCAATAATTACTTTGTTAAATCGGAGGTGCGGCGCGGCCTGCTGCCCGAGATCCTGGAATCCCTTTTGGCCGCCAGGAAGCGGGCCAAAAACGACCTGAAAGTGGAAACGGATCCGTTTAAACGGAAGGTTTTGGATGGCAGGCAGCTGGCGTTGAAGATTTCGGCCAATTCGGTGTATGGATTCACCGGTGCCCAGGTGGGAAAGCTGCCCTGCCTGGAGATCTCGGGCAGCGTCACCGCCTATGGCCGCACCATGATCGAGTTGACCAAAAACGAGGTGGAGACGCACTACACGCAGGCCAATGGCTATGAGAACAATGCGGTGGTCATCTACGGCGACACAGACTCTGTGATGGTTAATTTCGGTGTAAAGACACTGGAGCGCAGCATGGAGCTAGGTCGCGAGGCGGCCGAGTTGGTTAGCTCCAAGTTCGTGCATCCCATTAAGCTGGAGTTCGAGAAGGTCTACTATCCGTACCTCCTCATCAACAAGAAGCGCTATGCGGGATTGTACTTCACGCGGCCGGAGACGTACGATAAAATGGACTGCAAGGGCATCGAAACGGTGAGGAGGGATAACTCGCCGCTGGTGGCCAACCTGATGAACGCCTGCCTGCAGAAACTGCTCATCGAAAGGGATCCCGACGGGGCAGTGGCCTACGTGAAACAGGTGATTGCCGATCTGCTCTGCAACCGCATCGACATCTCGCATCTGGTCATCACCAAGGAGCTGGCGAAGACGGACTACGCGGCTAAGCAGGCGCACGTGGAGTTGGCCGCCAAGATGAAGAAAAGAGATCCTGGCACGGCACCCAAGCTGGGCGATCGAGTTCCCTATGTGATCTGTGCGGCGGCCAAGAATACGCCTGCTTATCAGAAGGCCGAGGATCCGCTGTATGTGCTGGAGAACAGCGTGCCCATCGACGCCACCTACTATCTGGAGCAGCAGCTCTCCAAGCCGCTGCTGCGGATCTTTGAGCCCATTTTGGGCGACAATGCAGAGTCCATTTTGCTGAAGGGCGAGCACACGCGCACTCGCACTGTGGTTACTTCAAAAGTGGGTGGTTTAGCCGGCTTTATGACCAAGAAAACCGCCTGCTTGGGCTGCAAATCCCTGATGCCCAAGGGATACGAGCAGGCCTGCCTGTGTCCGCATTGCGAGCCCCGCATGAGTGAGCTCTACCAGAAGGAGGTGAGTGCCAAAAGGGAGCTGGAGGAGACCTTTTCGCGCCTCTGGACGGAGTGCCAGCGATGCCAGGAGTCGCTGCATGAGGAGGTCATCTGCTCGAACCGCGATTGTCCCATCTTCTACATGCGACAGAAGGTGCGCATGGATTTGGACAGTCAGGAGAAGAGGGTGATGCGATTCGGCTTGGCCGAGTGGTAGCCAAAGCATGAATTTACTGAATTGTTTAATCCTATAATTTATTAATTATATTACTAGAAGTTATTACAAAGTTTCTTTCGGTTCGTGGATTTGTTGCGCAATTAGCAATTTGCAAAAAAAGCTGTAGACGATTCCTAGCTGGCGATGCTTTGGACACAAACATTTTTACACAGGGGACTGGGGGTACTGGCTGAGGATCTACTTGCGACTCTGCAGGGTGTTGGACAGCCAGTCCATGGCCTGGTCGAGTCCCTCGCCCTTGGTGGCCGACGTTTTGAAAATCTGAAATGTTCGATTCTTGAGGTTCTCCAGCCCTAACGCATGATGCACCTCGGCCACGGTCATGCATCCATCCATGTCCTGCTTGTTCGCCAGCACGACCAGTATCGCTCCGGCCAGCTCCTCCTCCCGCAGCATGTAGAGCAGCTCGTCCTTGGAAATGCCTATGCGGTCGCGATCCGCCGAGTCCACCACGTAGATGATGGCGTCTGTGTTGCTGTAGTAGCAACGCCAGTAAGGTCTGGAATGCAAGTTGTACTGATTAGGAGATTGTATAGCGATTTTGGGAATAACTTGGATTATATTCCCGAGAACTATTTGTTTTTTTGGAAAATAAGTTGAATATCATAAGTTGACATTGGATTTTAGGTTAAATTGTTTTTTTTTAATGCATTTAAATTTTATTTTAAAGCATACATTTGATTGGTTACAATTTTTTTACGCAAACCTCAATTAAGTTTGGCCTAAATCTAATTATAACTTAATAAATAAAATTTGTAACCAATCAAATGTGACTTTAAAACGATTTCACCTAAAATCCAATGTCTAATCATAAGTTTTTTTTTTTATATTCATACAAATAAGATTTACATACATATACGTTTATATATTGCTTCTTGGAAGTTTTCGAACAAATTATATCGTGACTAATAATTTCGCTTAAAGCAAGATTGTTGGAAAATGTTTATGAATTTATATATATTGTACAAAGCTTGAGGAAGTGGAAAATAACCTTGCGAAGTTGAAGTGAAAAGCAACAAATAAAATAACCTTTATTTCTAAGGAAAATTTTTGAAAAGTGTTATACATTATGTAGGTATAGATTGTACTAAACGACATTAAAATTTCCTTGGAAAATGCCGTACAATAACCAAAAATAAAATAATATTTCCTACTTAATGCATAATTAATTTATGTATACAAAAATGTTTCTAAAATTTTTTGTGATTTAATTATAAAATACTATTTATTAATAAGTTCATATTATATTATTCTACAATTATCTCGGACCACATCAAACAAATCAGGCTTCCTTATCTCGAAATCCCCGGTATTCAGTCACATATTATAAGCATGTTTTTTTTTTTAGCAAAAACGCATAATTTAAAATGTAAATACAAAAACTTTGTTTCTATTTGAAATTGGTTCAAGTAAATATTGAAAAACAAACATATTAACCAAAGGTAAAATAGATAAAAGAACATATGTTCATGACTATAAGCCCCACCGAATCCCCCACCCACTCACCTAATACTTGTCTGTCCGCCCAAATCCCAGACCTGGAACTTGAGGTTCTTGTAGGTGACCTGCTCCACGTTGAAGCCGATGGTGGGTATCGTGGTGACCACCTCGCCCACCTGCAGTCTGTAGAGGATCGTGGTCTTGCCGGCGCCGTCCAGGCCCAGGATCAAGATGCGCATCTCCCGGGAGCCGAGCAGTCCGCGAAAGTAGCTGAGCACCCCACCTGAAGGAAGAACGTACGATTTTTATGACCAGACATCTTCGTCACCGGGTGTCGGCGGAATGGAATGGGAGGTTCCGCTTCCTATAGTCCACAAACCCATGATTACGGCTGAACTTTGTCTAGTGCTGGCGCTGCCTCTAAATGCTTGAGTGTAAACCTAATTAATTGTATTTTGAGCTACAATTAATACAAAATCGAAATAATCTTGTTTTCACTTTTTTTGGGCAGAGAATGGTTTCGTTTTGCCGTTCACAGGTCACGCGAACATGACGTGTCACAGCGTGCGTTCACCAGACAAATATTTTGAAAATTTAAAAAAATTAAATAACTTTAAAAACATGCTTCTAAAATAATATTAATTCAAATAAATTAACATTTTGAATGGCTTAAAAAATTAATATTTTAAGAATATTTTTAGTGATCTGCGGTGAACGCACCCACCTTTATTGCCGGTCGACAGAGTTGCCACCCTTGCGTGACTTTTGTTATAGAGACGGCCGCCATTAGAGTTTTGCTGTCGCGTCGCGTTGAGAAAAGTGAGGAAAAACCCTCTTAAAACAGTGCTAATAGGTAATACTTTCGGTCCCAAATAGAGCAATTCGATTGCGTTCGCCGGCTGCGATAAGCGGGACGTCAAATTTGACCGTTTTGGCGGGTCTTCGGCTGTTTATTTTGTGTTTGCACCGGACTGCGCAAAAAAGTGTGCCAAAAAACGCATACAAAAAAAGTGCCTGGATTACATATCGTGGCTATGGGCTTTAAAATGTTTTCAAATTCGGTGCATTGACGTGGATTCCATTTGCAGATAACGCAGCGCCAGTTGGTCGGATATTACTCTAAGGATTCCTTGGATAAAGCGGAGGAAAAATAGCTGAACTATGGCCTCGCCCTCTCCGGCGAACAGTCCCATGCCCCCGCCACAGGCGCCCAGTCCGATGGCCCCGCCTTCGCAGAGTCCCGCCCCCTCGCCGCACAGCCCCTATCCGCACCAGCAGCCGGGTCCGCTGCAGGGACCCCCACCCCCCGGCCACCCCGGCGCCTACGGACATCCCATGCAGCACGGACCGCCCGGACAAGGTCCTCCCGGCCACCATATGCCGCCGCACCACCAGGGGATGAGTATGTTGCCCAGCTAACCCACCCCCCCAAGTCCCTCAGACGCACGTAATTATCCGCAGTTTTCTCAAAAGGTCCGCACATGGGAATGCAGATGCCGCCGACGGGTCCGGGTCCAAATATGTCCCCCATTGGTTACCAAACCCACGGAATGCCGCCAAATGTAAGTTATCTCAGAGTCTAAGAAAAAACAATATTACTTCGCTAGTTAGTTTTTAACTAGTCTTTCCAGTCGATTTCTAAGATCGCAAAGGTCGTTTTTATATATGTACCTACAGCAATCGATATTTTAAACCCCTAATTACGTTTTTATCATGTTAAGGGGAAAATATGTTATAAACTCAAAATTTCCTTAACTTTAATAAGTTCTAGGTTATTAAAACAAGAAATAGAAATCAACTTAAACTTACAAACTCAATTACATTTTTATAAAACCTTTTCTTACTACTTTAGAGTTCCTATGACAGAAATATTTTAAAAAATTCCACAAAGAATATACATATGAAATAGGAATCTGTAAAATGTTTTTTAAGCTAGCGAATTCCAAATATTATTAGAAAATACTCAATTACACTTTATAGAAGCCTTTTTTACAATTTTAGAGTTCCTATGCAAGATATAATTTAGAAAATTCCACAAGGAATATACATATAAAATAGGAATCTGTAAAATGTTTGTTAGTTTAGGTAGCTAGCATATACAATTCCATTAACAAAGGCTTAAAAACAAAAGAATGTAAATTCTTGCAATCATCGCTTAGAATTTTTAAACCACTTTCTAACAATTTTCATATTTATTTGGCAGCTTAAGGTTTAAAATTATCATATCAAAATGTTTTATTATAAACGCTTGTTTTTAAAAGCCTGAACTTTGAGTTATTTGCTTTCCCGCCACTTTTTTTGGATCGTGTCTACCAGCTGGCGGAGATCAAATTTGGATGATATCTAAAAGCTTTCCATTGGCAAAGCTTCCAGCGCCGAGTGACGGTTCAGCTGCCCTCAAGCTTTTCAATTTAGATCGTTTTCGCCAACAGTTTATTAGGTTTGTCTTGTTTTAATTACTTCGGCACTGGCTTGCCCCCCACCGACTCCTCCTCGTCGGCCTTGCGCAACAGATTCTCGACCTCTTTGCGCAACTTTTCCGTTCCGGCGCAAATGAGATCCGGCTTCATTATATCGAAGGGTCCGCCAAAGGGATGCGTCACCACGCCCCCCGCCTCCTTCACCAGCAGGGAACCGGCGGCACAATCCCAGGGATACATGTCCTCGATGTAGAAGGCATCCAAGTTGCCAGCTGCCACCATGCACAGCTCGTCCACAACACAGGAGTAGGCCACAAGTCTGGGGATAAATAGGAGTTGTAGAAAAGGATCATAAAGTATCATATTTTATTATTTTAGTTTTACAAAATCATTTCAAAATATTTCTAAACTTTATATACATTTTTCCCATGAATTCTTTGAAATGCCTATATTATTTCAAACGCAGTTATATAGTTTGTTATTAAAGTCTTTCTAAACTTTATGTACATTTTTCCCCAAGAATTCTTTGAAATGCCTCTAATATTTTGAACGCAGTTGTATACGTACATTGTGCATATATATTATTTGCATGACTCTTTTAATTAAATTGGAACATCAAGCGATTGAAGCTTTATAGGGAGCTTTGACTGGTTAATTGTTTTGTACCCATATATTCTTATTTTTGATTGCACAAATATTTCTTTATTGTGAGTCTGGGGTTGAAATTTAAATATTAGGAGTTTTAGGATTTTTGAATATTTTTTGCTCTTTTCATTTTATTTAAATGAAATGTTTCCCCTCTCCAATAGAAAAGTTTATCACTCACCTCCTCGCATTCAGTCCCACATGGTAGATCCTTTTGATGTGCTTGTTGGCCACCGAGTGGACGTGCAGCAGGGACACTTCGTAGGCCACATTGGCATCCTTGACGCTCTCACAGCTGCTCACATGGATGGGCTTTCCATTGCAGAAGGCTCCTTGACCCAATTTCGTCGTGAAGAGCTTCTTCTGGACAGGATTGTTGATGACGCCCACGACGATCTGTTTGTTGATGGCCAAACCAATCGAAACGCAAACGTGCGGAATTTGCTTTATGAAATTTGATGTGCCGTCAATAGGATCTATGATCCAGGTGGGAGCATCCGTCAGTTCGCCGGATACATTGTTGTTCTTGGCCGTCGCCTCCTCGCCAATAAACTTATGTCCAGGATAGCTGGCCAATATCTTCTCCATGAGAAAGTCTTCGATCTTGTTGTCATAGTCGGTCACCACATCGTAGAAATCGCCCTTGATGGAGACGTTTTTACTGGCCATTTCGTAGCCCTCCATGAGGATCTCGCCCGCCTCGATGGCCAGTGGATGGATGAAGTTGTACAACTCCTCAATCTCCGCTTGATTCACTTCTGCCATTTTGCTAACGATCCGTTGCTGCTCAGCTCGCGGTGCCAACTAATCAGAGAGATTGTGCCCGGCTGGAAGTAGTTCCTCTGGAGCTTTGCTTTCTGTTCGGTTCGGTTCGTTTCGGTTACATTCAGCAATACATTCGTTCTCTGATTGTTTGCCTGCATCGCGTTTTAAGATCGCGTACTAAAATTGGCATCTCACCTGGCTGCCTGCCTCTGTTTTATCTCAATTTGTTTGATGTACACAAATAGACAGACTCTTTTTATCTGCACAGACAGCCGGTGTAGTCAAATAGTTGTAAAACCGGTTTTTATCAGCACTCTTTGCCCGCTCTCAGTCCTTATTGTATGATTTATACTGTCGGTCTGCAAGTCATTATTCTCTAAAAGACCTTGCAAGCGAGCTGAATTAGCGTATTTATCAAATCGTTTGTGGTATTATGATTGATCTTTGGCATATTAACCATTCATATTTTTGTGTTGTCAAATTTTGTATTGTTTCAATAATTTTAAATTTGAAAACTTCAATCCCCTGAATTTAACACAAAAATGTTGTTTTGACCAGTTTTTATTAAATATTAAACTTACAAATTTTATTCAAAACATCATTATTCAAGAGTATAATCTGTAATCTGGTCAGCCTCCTCTATTAATTGGATTACATTTTTAGCCAATCCCTCAGAGCAGGTGCACACACAATCGGGCTTCATCACATCGAATCTTCCTCCGCTGGTGTGGTAAACAATGCCACCTGCTTCTCTGAGGATTAAGGCACCGCCAGCCAGATCCCAGGGCTTAAGATTCTCCACATGATAGGCGTCGCAGCGGCCAGCAGCTATGTAGCATAGCGTGAGAGCTGCACACCCAAAGCTGCGAGTGCTGATAGCCGAATGCAGTGTAAATAATGAGGAATAGATCAGAGTTCTTTGGGTCACTCACCCAGTGGCATTCGAGGCTAGCTTGTAGAGGCGCTTCACATTTTTGTCCCGCCCCTTGGACACCACGATTAGGGAGATCTCATAGCCGACCACAGCTTGGTTTATCTGCAATCGAAAATTTCCGAAAAATGCTTGTTTAATTTTTAATTATTCCAAGAGTTAGGTTTGCGAGCCTGCTATCAGTTCAAGTGCTGGGAAATATTTAATAGCCTTTTTATTTGGTTTTTTTTTTTCTAATTATTGCAAAAACAAATAAATGAAATATCTAAGATCTTCTCTGAAATCGCAAGTCCAGTTAGAGATAAATTTTTTAGGGAACAGCAATATAAGATTAAAAGGGTAATACCTACACAAAAAAAAAACCGGTATAAAATGGGGGTATTTCTACTAGAGGTCTGCATGAATGCATTCAAACTGACAAATGAATCACTCATTCTTAAAACTTGTATAAGTTTTTCTGTATTCATTACTTTAAATATGAGTGAATGCAGTACTTGTGACTGTATTGCCAAATACTGTACTCACTTTTCCAGACACAGTACAGTTTATTGTGAATACAGTGTTTTTGGTGTACAATAACTTATTGTACAGTGAATGAAGTTTTCCCAAAATTACAAGGCCTACTGAATTTATTAAAGCTTGCTTATTTCTTTGTAATATTGTAATCTATCCACTAGCAGAATAACTTAAAACCTAATGAAAGAGACGAAGTGTCGTTAGTCATAAAATATTGAGGGATTTATTAATACATTAATCGCTATTTAAGACATTTTCATTAATGCTGTCTATATTGGAGTTTAAAAACATTATTTTGTTGACCATGTCTTCAGTCGAAGCAATTTTGGAACGCTTTGCGGAAATTCGATTTTTTGCAATAGAAAACAAGCAAAGAAATAATATCGCACTCGGTATTCGTATTATTAGGCAAATCCATTCTCCGATTTAGCTACCGACAACTCTCACACTTTTTTTTCTACTCAGAGTACAGTACTATACAATAGTAATTGAGACGACACTCATAGTATTTTTCAAATTGAGAAGCATACACATAGTACTAAAAAAGTGTTGCAACTCTAAAATAGTGTACTCAGTTAAAATCGGTATTGTGGGTACTCTGTACAATATTGTATGAGTACACTAAATGTGAGTACCGTATACAGCTGTACAGTACTGTAAGTTTTGAAATAAATACATTCATGCAGGCCTTTAATTTCTACCTTATTTCATTTCAATAATATGAATGATATGTCAAATTTAAGATTCAAACAAAATTCAAATTAACATAATTTTTATTCATATCAAAATGATATGAATATCTTGATCTTTAAAAAATATCAAATTGACCATTACCATTCTTTTTCTGCATACATTACTTTTTCTCTTATTTTACGGCTTATTAATCTTATCAGTTCTAAGAGATTATGAGTTATTTCATCACCTTTCACAAACGCACCTCTTTCACGTTAGAAACCCCAATGGGTTGGCCATTTAAAAAAGCTCCATGACCTTGCCAAGCTGAATACAACTCGTTTGCCGGTGGATTGTAGACAATCCCCACCACAAGCTCTTTGTTAATGGTCAAACCCACGGAGATACAACAATGGGGGATCTTTCGCACATAATTGTTGGTGCCATCAATGGGATCTATGATCCATGTGGGGGCATCCGTCAGTTCCGGTTGGGTTTTGGCGCCTGCCAAAGCTTCCTCGCCTATTATTTTCGATTCCGGAAAGGCCCTGAGCAAACCTTCCGTTAGCGTGGCTTCTATTTGCTGGTCGAACACTGTGACCAGGTCATAAAAAGCCGACTTGACTTCGTAGTCCGTTTTTGGTTTCTGAAAACCCTCCAAGAAGAGGGGACCGCACTTCCTGACCAGTTCCAGGGATACCTGGTAGTATTCGCGTAGCTTTTCCTCGCCGATTTTATAACTCATGTCTCGACAATATCGACTGATCAGTTAGCGAACTATAATTATTTCTAGAACAGCTGAGGAATCATTTTGGCAAAGCTTTTCTATCGTGAGCTTTTTCCAGATAGAGTCGCCCACTGAGATATAATTCGTTTTATTTGCCTTTATATTCTGGAATATTTTGGTTTAATCTCTCGGGTTTACAATCGTTTACAGCTGATTTACATAGGATAAATGTGTGCATACTGACTTTGCATACTGAGCTAGTTACTATCTTTACTTGAATGTGTACTCTGTAATCTGGTTGGCCTCTTCGATAAGGCTAATCACATTCTTGGCCAACTCCGGCGTTGCGGCGCATACGCAGTCCGGTTTCATCACATTGAACTCGGATCCGCTGGTGTGACAAATAGTGCCACCGGCTTCGGTCAGGATAATGGCTCCGGCAGCAATGTCCCAGGGTTTCAGATCCTCCACATGATAGGCATCGCACTGACCGGTGGCCACATAGCAAAGTGTTAAGGCTGCGCTTCCAAAACAGCGGGTTCCCGTGGCATTCGAGGCCATCTTGTACAGACGCTTCACATTCTTGTCCCTCACTCGGGCGGCGTGGATCAGGGAGATTTCGTAGGCAATCACCGCTTGGTTGATCTAGAAATGGGGGATATTATTGGGAAGGTTTTAGGAGAGCTTTTTGTGGTTTTATGTGGGAGAATGCTAATAAATGCTATTCTCGCAGATACAGGAAAAAAACTGTTTAAAAGTACTTTTTTCTAGCATTTTATACTGGGTTATTACAAGTAGGTAAAATATCTGTAGACCAAATATTTCAACTTTTTAGGGCCGTTTTCTCGTCCGTCTGTTTAATTTAAAGGAAGGTTAAACTCCGATTTTTCATAATATTTCATGGGTTTACCGTACTTTAAATTTAACAAACGGACGAGAAAACGGCCCTTAAAATAAGAGATTTCTCAGTAGAAAAGTAATTGGGGTGTTGAAAAGTATATTTTTAAAAAATATCATTTAAAAAACGGCTTAAATATTATACTTCAAACATTTAAAGCCTTTGCTTTCCTAACAGATCTGTGCAAGAATTTTTTATCGAAATGTCAATTTGAGATGAGCCAATGTTTTTTTTACGTGCACCGATAAACCCGAGTGCAGGCAAAATAACATGCACGGTTACTTGTTAAATTTCGTTTATCTTGTTTGTCGCTATTTCTGGTTGCTCCCCGGGTTATATAAGCACTCTCTTACCGTCGTCACTTTGGACGTGTGGATGGGCTGGCCATTCAGGTAGGCTCCATGTCCCTTGTAGGCGGAGAACAGCTCATTCGCCGGCGGGTTGTAGATGATGCCCACCACCAGCTCCTTGTTGATGGCCAGACCCACGGAAATGCAGCAATGTGGGATGCGGTGGATGAAATTGGTGGTGCCGTCGATGGGATCAATGATCCAGGTGGGCGCATTCGTCAGTTCCGCCTGGCGCTCCGAGGCTGCCGACTCCTCCTCGCCAATAATTAGGGATTCGGGGAAGGCCGCCACCAATCCCTCGGTTAGAAGGTCCTCGATTTGTTTGTCGTAGACGGTGACCAGGTCGTAGAAGTCCGACTTGACCTTGTAGTCCGTCTTGGCCTTCTGGTAGCCCTCCTGCATCAGAGGTCCGCACTTGAGGACCAGCTTCAGGGCCACATCGTAGTACTCCTTGAGCTTGGACTCGCTGACCGGGGAACTCATCGCTATTTCTGTTGATTTCCGACTGAGCAACCGAACTATATGGACGCGAATCAGCTGTGGAAAAAGTGCGACGCCAGAGAGGAGAGCTTTCCGCAGAAGCTTTCTTCGATGCAATAGAACTTTGGACATTTCGGAGAGTGCGATAGAGTTTATATGGTTTCGGATTCGTGGGTGTGCTGATACAATGGAGGGCAACCGAATAGATGCAGTATAGAATTATTAATATTTTCAAACCAGAGCTGCAAATAATATTTTTTTATAATCAATCTTATTGAAAATATTGATATTGTTATCAAAATATTTTATTGGTAAAATTGACTTATACGGGTAGTTACGTTATTTTAAACAAGAAAGGAAGCTACCTTCGGCCAGCCGAAGCTTATATACCCTTGTAGATAAAAGAAAACTCACTCGGTGCAGTTCCAGGGATTCCAGATTCAGCGTTTCGATTTATTTCAATTTTGTTTTTAAGTAGTCAAGAATCAAAACGCCTACTTCCTACAAAGTTACAATGAATTTTCTTATATTTGATTGGGAGCCTTAAGATATAGTGGTCCGATCCGGCTGGCTCCGACATATGTACTACCTGCAATAGAAAGAAGACCTTCGGGAAAGTTTCATCGCGATAGCTTTAAAACTGAGAGACTAGTTCGCATAGAAACGGACAGACGGACAGACGGACAGACGGACAGACGGACATGGCTAGATAGACTCGGCTATTGCTGATCAAGAATATATATACTTTATGTGGTCGGAAACGTCTCCTTCACTGCGTTGCAAACATCTGACTGAAATTATAATACCCTCTACAAGGGTATAAAAATAGTTACGTGTATTTTGTTTTTGCTTTGGGTGTGTCTTTGTTAATGGTGTGTATTTGTTGGTGTGAAATTAACTATTTAATTGGTTTAATTTAATAGCATCACAACTTTGGCTTGTGAATCATATCATGGTGATAAGAAACATGTATGAATTTCGGAATTTCCGGAATATATAAATATAAATTATAATAAGAATACGAATAGGTATCTTATAGTTAGCTCTGTAAATTCAATGTACAAAAGAAAAGCATAAGCAATTAGACTTTATCGGTGTAAATATTGTGTTTGCATGATGAGTTGCAGATTTCAGTTGGCAATCTTTATGCTATTGAAAGACTGATTTGTGCTAAGCTGATATGAATTAATATTTAAAATGCAGAGCTAACATAACAGATCTAGGGCTCTCCAGTTGTGTTTTCATGATGATGCCCAGTTTCTTTATCTTTACCCCATTTTAAATAAGATTCAGTTTTATGTCGACAATTAGATTGTATTGTTGTTTACAAAAAGTCTTTGGGTTTTAAAACTCACTCCCCACCCACATGCTTCTCCTGATCCGCCTTTCGAATTAGTTGCTCTATCTCAGCTCTCAGTGTCTCCGTGCCGGCGCAGATTAAATCGGGTTTCATGATATCGAAGGGTCCACCATAGGGATGGGTGACCACTCCACCAGCCTCACGGATGAGCAAGTAACCTGCTGCACAGTCCCAAGGATACATGTCCTCGATGTGGAAGGCATCCAAGTTTCCAGCGGCAACCATGCAAAGGGAATCCACCACAGCTGAATAAGCCAGGAGTCTGGAAGGGATTAAAAAAAATTAATTAACTATTTGCTCCACATAATATTGAAATACCAAACCCACCTCCTGGCATTGGATCCCACATGGTAGATCCTCTTGATGTGTTTATTCCGGATCTTTGGTGCGTGCAGCAAACAAACCTCATAGGCCACATTGGCATCGTTGAGATGTTGACAGCTGCTCACCTGGATGTGTTTGCCATTGCAGAAGGCTCCCTGGCCCAATTTGGCCGTATAGAGCTTATTCTGGGCAGGATTATTGACCACTCCCAGAACAATTTGTTTCCTAATGGACAAACCAATTGAAACGGAGACGTGAGGAATTTGTTTGATGAAATTGGAGGTTCCATCGATGGGATCTATGATCCAGGTGGGAGCATCCGTGAGCTCTTTGGTCACATTGTCATTTTTATGGGTATCCTCCTCGCCAATAAACTTGTGATCCGGATAGCTGGCCAGTATCTTTTCCATTAGAAACTCTTCGATCTGGTTGTCATAGGCAGTGACTACATTGTAGAATTCTCCGTCTTTCAGGGCCACCGCCTTTCCGGCATTTTGATAGCCCTCCAGCAGGATTTCCCCAGCTCTTACTGCCAGTGGATAGATGAAGTCGTACAGCTCTTCGATCTGTGACTTGCTGGTTGCCATCTCTTTTCCTATTTCGCTTTACTTATCTGTGCTATCTTGTTGTACTGTAGTTATTGCCGTATATTGCGAGTCGCAATTTGCGACTATTCCGAATTCGTCTCGACTGAATGAAGTACTGAGCACAGTCAACAATCAACAGTAGAACGGGTTTTCTCAGTCCAGTAACTTGGTTCACTGACTGAGATTCGCGAACTGAGATTCTGGAAGCTTTTTTAATTTATTTGCCTTTGAAGTTAGCTTTTATACAGAATGGAATTCGCAGTACGTTTAACTTAGGACTTACATAATTTAATTTTGGATGGCAGGCCAAGATTTTTGAGTAATTCAGGATAACTCAAAGATACTAAATCATGAAACTTCTATAAAAATTTAAAATTATTTAAAATGTATTTCTTAATTTATTAATACAATTTATATATTTAATTTTAATAATGTTTTTAGAAGTCCTATTATTAAAATTAAATATTACTTAAAATGTATTTCTTAATTTATTATAAAACTTCGATATTTCGTTATAATAGTTTGTTTTAGAAGTCCTGATCAACTAGAAAAGAAATTATTATTAAAACATAAAATTATTTAAAATGAATTTTTTCGTTTATTAATAAAATTAAGATATTTAATTTTAATATTTCTTTTCAATTGGGAAAAATATTATTTTGAAAATATAAAATTATTTAATATACGTTTTTAAATTTATTAACAAAATTTATTTATTTCTTTTAATTAATTTTATAAATTTTTTTTATTAGGAAAGAAGTTATTTTAATATGAGAAACCTTACTAAATACTAATATTAATCATAGCTTTCTATAAAATGATTTCTAAAATTCTAACAAAATTCTTTTTCCCTTTTTTCAGGCTCCCACACAACCTTGCATAGTGTCGCCTGGTGGCCCACCTGGTGGTCCTCCGCCGCCGGAGCGCTCCAGCCAGGAGAACCTACACGCCCTGCAACGCGCCATCGATTCGATGGAGGAGAAGGGCCTGCAAGAAGATCCTCGCTACTCTCAGCTCCTGGCAATGCGGGCCACCTCC